GCGAGTCGCCGGGACAGATCGGGGCGCGCGGCGGGACGCTGGAAGGCTGGGGAAGCACTACGCCTGGGCTCTCAGAAACGCGGATATTGTCTTTCCCCTCCTGGAAATAGGAGTAATTGCAATGTTCTGTCCCGGTTTTCCCGTGCCACCCGCCCCGCGATCGTCCTGACAACTCTCTAGCTAACAAGGTAATGAGCAAGCCAGCCTCCTTTGCTTTAAACAGGTCACGCCTCCCAGTTAGGGTTTGTGGCTGTCAAAGATAAGAATAGAAGCCTTGGGACTGGCTGGGAGTGGGCTCCTCTTCCTACAAATGTAGTCCGGGGAAGCATTCCGGAGCCAGTGACCAGCTTGACACCATTTGACTGATGACCCCCTTGGAGAAAATTTGTCACTTCAGAGATGAAAAGAATTTCTGATGCGTGGTGCCGTTGTTTACCTAATTTATTTTCTGGCGATCCTGTCTCCCCTTGCACTGCCTCATTTCCTTTAAGGTTGTATTAGGCCTTGAGCAGTTTTCCATCTGTCCTCTTCTACATCTCCACTTGTAATATGTATGCCTTTGGCCGACAGCACAACGCATGGAAACCATTTAACTCTATCAGAAACATTTAACCCATTCTACTATATGGACCATTTCGAAGTTTATAACGTCATACAGCAGAGTTCACTCCAAGGTCTTCATGGTCTAGTATACTACTTTATTGGGAAAGAGCCAGCGAATGAAAGTCAACCTGCACTTCTTTCAAGTAGGTGTGCATATTTGTGTGCATGTTCTGGTTAGTCTGTCTGACTTATTGTGATGTGGCTATGGAGGTGGGGGAGGGGGAGTCAAAGTGTACCTTCTGAGTGAATTTTTACGATTGTGATTATTATATGTTCTATGAGAATAACTCTGCTATATATTTATTATTATTATTATTATTATTATTATTATTATCATTATTATTATTATTTAGCACAAAACCAGAAACTCAGATGAGCGGTAATAACAAGGTTGACGCTGCATTTTTCCTCTTGTTTGGCTTATGACAGTTACATATTTAACATTTTTGTCAATGTGCATGCTTGCACTCATGAAAGTGTCACAGGATTCTCTGTGGTGAAAGGCCTAGGATCATACATGTGGGCTGTGCTACCACAACCAGTTTCTTTGGATTCTGAGGATCCTAGTTCAGGTCCTCATGCTCCGGTGCCCAACTCTTCCATATCTCAAGCGGTTAAGTCCATTGAGAATTGTTCAGACTTATCATCAAGACCTGAAAAGGACACAGCCAGGATGCTCTCCCTCTACTGCCCATCCAAAACTACTACATCAGCCACAAATCTTAAACACTTCCCCAGAACTTTGGGTGATTATTAATGAGCTGACCTAACACTCTCTGGTGTCCTGGGCCCTTTCTTTTCACAGTGTCAGAGCTTTAAAATGTGCTCACTTTTAGGATGAGGCAAGGACTTTAAAAACCTGAAAATACTTGAACTCATAGATGGGAAAGATAGGAAAGTTTTCCTCCACTGTCTTTAGTAGGAGAAATCTGTGGTTACTGTAAAAGGCGATTTTGTAGAATAGTTATTTCAAAACATTTTCAGCTGATGAGTTACAAGCTATAAATAGATGTTAGCTGTAAATAGACTTTTTTTTAAAAAAAATTCTGTCTACTTTTGAAGGACAGTGCTTGATCATACTGAGCAAGTTCTGACTGTTTTATTAACTTGGTTCTCTTTATCTCTTATTATGATCAATAGTGATTATTCCTCCATAATGCATACTTCAAAATTTTATGAGATATTTCAAGGGCATTTTGGTAACTACAGCTGACTGCAGTTTTCACACTCACAAATTGCATTCATAATTGGTGAGAACCATGGCAATCTGTCAGTTTTCCTTTTTCATTAAGGCATTAAAGCTAACATTTTCTTATTTTATGAATTTGCTTTACGAAATAAAGGTTAGAATTCATATGCACCAGACTAAAAGACATATGAAATGCCCTAAAAGACACTTCTGAAGAGTTGATTCATTTTAACTCTTTTTTATTTTTCTCATTTAAAAAAAAGTCCATGTAGAAACCTCGTTTGTAAATGCTAATGAACGCTTAAGAAGGTTAGTAAATGAATTATTCTCTTTTAAGGTTGCTTCATCTTTTGAGTAGAATTTCCCAATTGCAGCACGTTCAGTGCTACGATTTTTGTTGTGGTAGAAAAACAGAAAGCTAATGATTCTTCCCAGTTTGTTCATTTTCCTCTCTCATGAGGTTGCTGCTGTTGGGTTCCCAAGTGTGTCTAACTGGCATGTGGATTGAAGATTTGGCATTGCAGTATTTGATGAAAGCAGAAAAATTAGGTTGCCAATTACACGTGTGCCCCTTATGTGCACTGCACTCCCACCATAGTGATGAGCCAAATTAGAAATTCCTAAGTAGCACCACTACAACCTAAAAGTCAGGCTGAGGAAAGATAATAGAGATTTTTTTTCTGTCTAACTCCATTACTAGTCCTAAAATAATTTAGAAACTGAACTAACCTTAATACATTTGCAAAGCAATGTGGATAAAGGATTTAAAAATGAACTGGGGATATGGATCGGTAGTCAAGTGCTTGCTATCTAGCATGGCCACCTGAATTTGATCCCCAGCATTCACACCAAAGCCAGGCACAGACAGCAGTGCACACCTGTAAGTAATTCCAGTGCGGGAGGGGTAGAGACAAAAGGATCTTGGAGTTTGCTGGGCAATCTGTCTAAGGAAATCTTGGAGCCTCAGGCTTCTTGAGGTTACACTGTCTCAAGAAATATTGCAGAAAGCAAATGAGCAAGACACCTGGCGTTAACCTCTGGCCTCCACACCCACACGTACACACTCACACACAAAATGGAAATAACTTTGCAACTCTTTTTTCTTTCCTAGGTATTGCTCTTTATGGTGACGGTTATGCCGTGAAAGCTGCCTATGGGTACCTGGGAGAAGAGCAGTAATTCATGCAGAGCAGGGCTGGAACAGAAATTGGTTCAAGACGTGAATGGGAAAAAAACGTGAGATTGACTCAACTGCAGTTCTGGGTCCAGAGAGCATCACAACTGTAATCTTAATGTGGAAACACATGAATGGGGATAATAAGCCAGATAATAATGCACAATAGACAAGAAAAAAAAAAGTTTTCATAAGCATAGTAGTGGTGACTATTGCTTAGTAAATTGTCTGACTGGGGAGAGAGAGAGAGAGAGAGAGAGAGAGAGAGAGAGAGAGAGAGAGAGAGAGAGAGAGAGAGAAGAGAGGTAGGTGAGGAGGGAGGGAGAGGGATTAGCAGGACAACAGGGTCTATTCATGAAGAAAGCTAGAGGGAAACTAAACACTGCATGAGCTGTCTTTGCTGCCCAAGGCATCAACACCCAGGATTCACCTTGTAAGGCAGGCTGGGGAGCAAGCCTCCCCTTCCACCTGGGCTCCCACCTGCCATCCTTGCACAGGATTCTCAGCATACCAGAGGAAGAGGCTGGAAAGCAGAAGATTCTGTGGATGCCTCTAACCCAGCAGAAACATTGATCTTGAGTTTGCAGGAGAGGGTCCCAGGTTAGGGAGCTGAAATGCTTCAGGTGGGAAAGCTGAAAACACTAATACCCTTTGATTGTATGACTCTGAATTTTTTTAGGTACTGTTTATTATGATATCTGAAAAATTCTTATAAGCAGATTCACCATTAGAAACTGTTTTATGTTATTTCCTTATATTTGTTTCTGATTTCTAATTCTTCTGATGAGGTATTCCAGAAACCAACTTCAGGATTCCTTGCCTCCTCCTGATGTAATTACCATGTTTGAATAATCTGTTTTGTCTGATTGCGGTATTTTTAAAATTTACCAAATTAATGAGTTAATTTGTTAGTGTTATCTGTGAGTCGTATCCAATGAAGTGGACTTTAAGTTTTTCTGCTCTATATTGTCCTAGCACCTATGTGATAATATGCATTTCATTTAAACAAATATGTCATAAAGAACCAGCTAAATCATTCCTAAGAACAATATCTTGATAAAGTTTGAGACTAACACTAAACATAAGTATAGATATAATTACAGCAATAGCAAAAGTAAAGCTGCCAGGAGAACATATTTGTTCTACTTAAATATATAATAGGCAAACAACACCAGTAAAATAGTCGAAGCCACATTAAACCAGTGCTATGGGAAGCTGGAAACTGGTTTTTACCATCTGTCAGCTTCTATACTGGCAGCCTCACAAATGAGATTTCTTTTGAACAAAACATCACAGCAGGAGCTACAGACATGTGAATTGTAATTAAAATGTGAAAATGCATTTCCCAGTTTTTGTCATTTATGGAAAATATATTGTGAGATCTAGATTTATAGAATTATATCAAATTTAAGCCATTTTAATTTTCCAAATCTACTTCATCAGAATTTTGGTGTTAATAATGAATATGTTTGCCTTTACAAACAAAGTGTGCTTCCCTTAGGTCTGTTTCACTCTCTAATGAGGGTCAATTATTTTCTAATCATTCAAGTATAGAAGATGAAGAAAAGTAATTTTCATATTCTATATAGTCAACGTAGATCTGCTGAGGACAAATGTCATTTCTTTACATTTACCTAACAGTATTTTATATAAATAAAAATAATAATTACCTGAAAATCATAAAACCAAATCAGGTCTTTAACCCTATAACAAAAATTTTGCCTCCTTTTTATATCTGAGAGAATAAGAATATTCTAGTTCATTAGTTTTTCTGTATCCAGCAAAACAAGTGCACAACACATTATGTGTAACTGTGCTACACACATTGGATAAGTGTTCAAGGACAGCAATAAAGGATGTGTTCCAAATTTTTGATATATTAACCAATGTTGAAATAGCATGTTTATATTAAAAAATATTTAATCTCCATTTTTAATATATGACTTTCTATAAATTCAGGTTAACTTTAAAGTTAGTCAATATTCTTGGCATTTGTTATTATGGAATTTATTACAACATTTGCATTTTATATACAAACAGATTGGTGCTTCTAACCTACTGAGTGCAACAGTGCTTTTTTTTTTTTCTAGTACATGGCTTCCAAGTTTCCTCCAAACACTAACATTATTAAAACAAGATTGGGGCTGGAGGGATGGTTCAGCTGTTAAGAGTGCATACTGCTCTCACAGAGGACCAGAACTGGTTGACCAGCACCCATGTCAGGCAGCTCAAAACGGCCAATATGTACCCCAGTTCCAGAGGACCCAATGCCTTCTTCCAGCCTCTGTGTGTACTTGCACTCTTGGGCACACACCCACACACAGATCCACAGACATTTACATGATTACAAGAATAAAAATAAAATCATAACTACATTGGGAAAGGAGTTTGCCACTAAATCTCATTTCAGATACAGCTGTCACCCATTCCTCATATCACATACCTCTTACACTGTGGTGTGAAAACTAGAAGTGCTAAGGTTTAGGTCTCCTCCACTTGAACTTGACTTTTGTAGAGACTCAGCCAAAGAAAGCTGGTGGAAATCCTGTGCGATCTCCTAGCTTCATACTTTACTATCCACTTTGTCACTGTGCTCTTAGGATGTAACTACCTACTATGACAAAGTAAGTGAAGACCTGACATCCCAGTATTCAGCACCATCTGACAGGTGCCACGTGTGCCAATTTTGCCAGCTGTCTATGAGACAGAGCCTCAGTGTCCTCATCTGTACCCTCCAGTCAGCCACATGAAGTAGAAATGAGCTGTGCCAGGTGCTGCTGCTGTGTAAGCATCTATCACAAATATACATAGTACTCTAAAGTGATAGTAGCGGATAGGACCACAGTTCTGTAGTTGGAAATCTAGTAAGACCTGGCCATATCTCTATTCAGCCTGAAAGCCGAGTATTGTACAGACAGCCTCTCGTACCGAGCCTCTGAAGTACAGGGCCACATCCAAGCTCATTCTCCCTGGCAGAATCCTGCTTCTTGTGGTCCAGACATTGAGACCTTTGTTTCCCAAATATGTGGCTCTTCCACTAGCAAGAGAAGCTTCAAATCTCCACAATATACATCTTTAACTTCCTCTTATTCCACCAACAAGAGAAAACTCTGCTTTTCAAGGAGTCCTGTGATTATGTTATCAGGTTGAGAAAAATCTTCTTATCTTAGGTTGACTGCAAGTATAATATTACTAATCACCTGAGTAAAATCATTATATGCACAAGCTCTATCTACATTTAAAGTGGGGGTGAATATGCAAAAACGAGGGCTATTAGAGGTTATCACATAGTTCTGCCTATCTCCTTCACCACTGCTTTTATACTGCACTAGACTTTAAACCAAAGGTGAGCTCATGAAAGACTTGCTCATCATTATATTCCAGAAGCACTGTATTAGGACTGAGGAGTGGTCTTGTCATTGTAGATTCACTCTTATGTTCACAGTTTGTGTGTAATATGTGTGTATTATTATTATTTTTTTTGTCTAAAAGACTTTGTTTTTCTTTAAACCATTGATAGGTTTTGTCCCTGGTCATCTTTTATAAGTTGTCTTTTCTTTCTGGATTGACTTAAAAATGAGAATTGCAGCTATCAGTGAAACAACTCAATTAAGTAATATGAGTTTTTTCAAATCTAACTAATTGTATTGCTTTCTAATCACTGTTATGTTGGCTAATAGCCATAAAACATCTTCGTCTTCATTCAGAACATCAGAAAAGTCAAACTTGAAGGGACTCTGGCCATCCAACAAATTTGCTATTAAATGCACCAAGTAAGTCCAATACTAGGGACAGCAAAAAAGAAAAAAAAAAATGTTTCTCACAACTAGCCAAGGTGCAGAGAATAAGAGACTGATGAATGCTCAGTCCTAAAAAGGGAACATACATAATGCAACCTCCTCAAAGATCATTGAGGAAGAGGGAGTGGAAAGAGTGGGAGAGCCGGAGGTGGTTAATTACTATGAGGAAATGTTACGTTCTGGACAGTGAGGCAGCTGCAAAGCTGCAAATACAAACTCACCGCTGTTGTAACAGCATGCGCAAAACCTGTGCAAGCACAAGCCAGACCAGATCTTTATAAGGAGACAGGAGCTGGGAACAAAATTCTCCTCTGAGCAGTGGAGAGAGTAGCTGTTGTTAACTGATTGGTGAGGAAGAGACATTTTATCTAAGAGTGTAGCCCCTGGTGAGTCAACCACTCTCAAGTAAAGACCACACCCAAGACTGTCTGGGCAACACAAAACGGTCTTGAAGAATTGAAGCAAGCACAAATGATACATACTTAGATGGGTAGGGAAGGGGGGTTGTGAATGGCAGAAGAGAGTCCTGAGTTTGAGGTCCATATAGTGAGTTTGAGACCATTCAAGGCTGCATAGTGAGACCCTGTCTCAAGAAAACAAACAAAACACAAAACAAAACAAAGCAAAACAAAACAAAAAAAGAAAAAGAAAAAGAAAGAAAACCTGTGTTGTATGAAAGTTTCAAAGAACCAGTTTAAAAGGATTGATTTTTTTTTAAATGTTGCCATTGAGATGGTTATGGAGATAATTTGGAATGCAGCGTGAGTGCAATGCAAAGGGCACGTGAACACTCATGGAAATCACACTCCAGAAATACACACTCCAGCTGTCCCAGCCTTTAACTCTTGGTCCTCCTTTCATTTTGGTAAATTCTGCACTGCAGTGGTTTTCTACTACATTGATCTAGTGGTTACTAAGTATCTCTTAGAATGGTTTTGCCTGAGCACTAGCCAGGGGTTTTCATGAGATTTAGAAGAAAGACACAGTGAAGCTGCTTCATCCCACCTGAAGTTCAGTGCAGGGAACCAGATGCTGTTTCATCTCATATTCTTGCTGTAGATCACCCTACTGGCCAAGATCCTTTGGATCCTGCAAGATAGCTTCTATCCTGTTTGGGGTAAACACCATTGTGAGGTATACCATGGCCTTCTGGATACGTCACTTATTTCATTGAGGCTGGAGGTGACCAGAGACAGATGTATGTGCATAGCATCTGCTGGAGTCCAAACTATCAATTTTGTCCCAGCTAACCTCCATGGACAATCCGTTGTCCCCTCTCCCAGCACCACTGTCACTGCCATTTCCCCTGATCATCCATGGCTTCAAGCCTACTGTAGGGAGAGTGGCACAGGACTTCCATAAGCATCTTCAGTCCCACAATTGCCTGAGGTCCAATCCATGGATTAAATATTTATCTCATTCTATATTAGCCCTATATCTATGATGAAATACACACATACATATACTTAACAGTATACACTTCTCTGATGAGTTCATGTAGGCTCAGAATTTCAGTACCACCTGAATGCCAATGATGTTCAAGTTTACATCTCCAGCCTGAAATTCTTGTACGTCTGAATGATCATTTACATTTCCTCTTGCATTAAAATGCATCTTACAAGCCAGGCGATGGTGGCGCATGCCTTTAATCCCAGCACTTGGGAGGCAGTGGAAGGCGGATCTTTGTGAGTTCGAGGCCAGCCTGGTCTACAGAGCGAGATCCAGGAAAGATGCAAAGCTACACATAGAAACCCTGTTTTGAAAACCAAAACCAAAACAAAATGCATCTTACTGTTAATATAAATAATGAGTTTTAGAGGGGGTAGAGAGATGGCTCTTTGGTTGCAAGCCCTTGTTGCTGTTGCATAGGACAAAGGTTTGGTTCCCAGTACCTACATGGAAGCTTACAACTATCCATAACTCCAGTTCTGAAGAATATAATATCCATAGGCATGCATGTGGTGTACAACAGGCATTCAAGTAAAAACACTTGTATACATGAAATAAGATAAATCTATTTTTTTCACTTTTGTTTTTTAGAAAAGACTTCCAGAATTCCTCTCAAAATTCTTCTATATGCTGTGGGCTTCCCCATCTTAGTCAATGGCAATTTCATTCTTCCTGTGCCTTTTTCTTTTCTCCTATGATGTATGTGCAATGTGTCAGCAATCTTATCTTCATCCTTACATTATAAAGAGTAGGTAACAACTTCTCAAAAGTTCTATTGCCATCGCCTGGTGTAAGCCATTATCATCTTTCACTTAGATTTACAATAGAGATGTAATTGACTTCTGCTTCTTCCATTGTCCTTACTGTAAATACTCAATTGATTAACTTATCATGAGGAAATTTGAATCATTTCATGCCATAGTTCTCCTCCAAATCCCCCTGTGGTACCCTACCTGACTAATCAGAATGATCTATAGATTCAGCACTCCAGCACCCTCCTCCAACCATCATCATTATTATCATCATCATCACCATCATCATCATCATCAGGCAGGAATGCTGGAGCTCTCTGCGGATTCTTTCCCTGGGCCTAAGCAGTGGTCCTACATTTCTCCAAGTTTTGCTTACATGTCTTTATTGAGCCCATCTCTGGTCATTGTGTCTGGGAACTTTATCTACAGCACACAACTACTTCCCTACTCCCTTGGTTGTTTGATCATTATCCAAAACATACTATATTCTTAATATTTAGTCTCATGTATTATCTGTTTTCCCACTAACATAAAATACAATGAGGGCATGGTTATTAGAGTTTTTCTCTATGCCTGCTGGAGTGTCTTGCTCACAGTGAACCTCAATTAATATTTGTTAAATGAATACCAAATCACTTATAAAGATGCCAAAGTATATGTTTAATTATGAAAGTTGATATGAGGAAAGGAGATTAAATTTTTTTATCATTTTGAACACCTCTTTAAATTCCTTGGTGTGAATAATTTTTAATAAATCTCAGTATTGTAAGGTATACACTAAAATATGTATCTTGTGACTCCAAATACTCGTCACTCCTTCATTTCACTCAGTCAATGTAGTAGGCAGAGTTCACCAGAGGAACATTGAAAAAGAGACACTGACCCACTCTGTACTGGATATGTAGTATTTCCAATGATCTGAATTTCAGGGCACGATAATACAGTCTTGTAAAGCACATAGGACTGTTCAGGATAGCATACAGGATTGCATATTTTCCCATGTGATTAAGAGGAAACTAAAAATTTTCTATTAGCTTAATGGCATGTAAGACACCACAACATATGAAGAGATTTATCATGTATATTGAATCATAAGATTACAGTGGGCCAGAGGTCTTAAAACTGCAAGCTGCACCCTAAAATGCCATAAAAACTGATGGTATACTTCAGTGCAAATCTGAAGACCTAAGAGCCAGAGACAATGAGATATAAGGACAGGAAAGACAAATGTCTAAGCCTATACAGGGTTATTCTCTCTCTTCTGCTTTTCTGTTCCATTTGAGCCCTAGATAGTTTGTATCATGCCTATCACATGAGCAAAAATTACCAGAAACATCCCTATAGACCTACCCAAAAACAACTTTGGGCTTTTAGCAGCCCTACTTGAATTGGGTGCTGCAGTTTTCTGGTGATCTTAAACATTGAGTGTGGAGAAAAAATGAAGTACAGCATAATATCCTCCCTACAGGCAGAACATAAGACTGTAGTCCCATGAAATTATAATGGAGTTAGAAATTTGTATCTATAGGGTTACTTCTGAGCCATGGCAACTCTATCACAACTATGGCTCATGTAGGGAGGGGGATTCTGGTGTAATCATGCATGCCATATTGCTAATCAAATAACAGCAGTCCATATACAGTACCTGATATTTGATAATGATACTAAACCTCTGTGCTGCTGACGTAGAGGCACACACACACACACACACACACACACACACACACACACACACAATACTTTTTGTCATTAGTTTAGAGGGAATCCTTTCACTTTTACAAAAACAGTAGCTGTGTTATGCTAGCAGCAGTCTTGTTTCGCAAACACTGCATCTACTGATTACATCAACCTGCATTCAGTGACACACCTATATGATGTAAGCCTATGGAAGTATACTAGATGGTGTTCACACATGATGAGATTGCCTAATGACAGTTCTCAGTATCCCCATCATTCATGAAGTGATGTGTGACTGTGGAGACACCCCAAGTGCCCTAAGGATGGCCTCCAGTTTCCTTTGATAGTCCAGATAAAACACAGACTACTGTAACACTCTTTGGCTTGATGACTCAGAAGCAAGAGAAGTCAAAAGTAGGCCAGTAGTTGACCTCCCAGTTGTGTGGACTCATTGTTGTGTCTCACGGTGGAAGCATGCTTCCTTATGGAATTAAGACTTGTTGGCTAGCAGAGCATGAATCACAAGAACAGGAAGCAGACCTCTTCTGTTGCATCTAGATGTTAAGTGGAGCCACCTCTTTTTGCCCTGACCTGACATTCATGAATCCCAACTATTGAAGAGGTAGCAGGGAATAATGAGTGATAACTCAGAACGCATACAGATTTTTGGAGAACTTTGCTTCAGCACTGTGAAATATTCCCAAAATCACCCTATTCTTCTACTATGCAAACAGTTTCAGGATGATTGGGGACATGGGAAGTCCAGGAAATTCTGATAGCATAATTTCTAGTCACAATTCTTTTGCTATGGCATGTGTTTCTGGATCAGCAGCAACA